AAGCAGATGAGCAATTTAAAATGGTCTAAGATTTAATTTAGATAAGTGTAAAATAATATGCTTAAGAAATTGTTATCTAATGGAAATACAAATGACAAAATTACTTGTTGAAAGGATTAGCAAAGTAATAGTGAATCAGAGATCAGATATGTTCTGAGTGTTGCTCTTTAATGAATCCTGATTTTTATACACAGGCTGAAAACAGACTGTTGCCAGTATAATGGTATTAGGAATATTAGTCTTGCTAGATATTAGGTCACCTGTGTTTTCATTTCTTTCAGGGTGTTGAGACTGGAGGTAAAGTAATATCCATGTCACATGGATATCAAGAATTATATTACAATGCTGGCATCATTTACAAAATTGATTTAATGGATCTTAAGCCTGTGTCCTTCCCATCCAGTTTTCCTGTGACCAGTGGTCCAATTTCCTTTTTCCCATGAGCCTAAGTTCTTACAGCCTGTATCCAGCAGACAGTGAACAATTATTACCCACCACCATTGTCTACTCAGCAAAGATTGTATTGGCGGTTTTTGAGATGGGATCAAATTTGGTTCCTATATGTCCTTCATAGGGGAAATTTTTTTCTTGCCGGTAATGTAGATGTTTACAAACACTTTCTCTTTTCTCCAAGCTGCCTTTCCACCATCACAAGCACACTTTTTCATTTTTCTCTTTTTAAATTTTTTTTTTTCTTTTTTTTTTAACCTAGTATTAATGCTCTGCAATAACTAAGTGGTTAAGAGACAGTAAACATTCAGAAGTTTGTTAGCAGCATCTTCTTATATAAAGTCTCTTCCTGGGATATTTTAGCTTAATTTATTTGTGGAACTTCTTTAGGTCTTCGCTCTCTCTAGTAGCATTAATAAGTTACACAGCAGATGATCAGATTAAAGTGTTGGGGTTTTTTTTAAATAAAAAAATTATTAGAAGCAGGAAAAGTTAATCATTAATAAAGAAATTAATTTCACAGTAAGCTGGCATAAGAACATCAGACTCATAAAAAAGCTCAAACACACTGGTGTTTTGCAAATCAGAAATGCAGTTAAAGGATTGCTATGGCATATAGAAAGAAAGTGCTTCAATTAAAAAAAAACCAAAAACAAACAAGAAAAGAAGAAGAAGGATCCACAGGTCGCACAGGTGGAGGATCCATTAAACTTTTAAAGTGAAGAATGAGGCTTTCCATCCCCACAGCCTGCCGCCCAGCCCACCCCAGAGACTGATACTGAGTCAGACTTCTGGGCTCTTCTTCAGTCAGCAGATGATATTCTACCTCTACGCTGTAAACTTCATGCTCCTGCATAACTGTGAGTGAGTTTCAGATTAGATCATTGTTGTGGTGTAGGCCCAACATGACAACAAAAGAACAGCCCCATGGCCACTCACTCACCTCCACTTCCCATTTCCACACACACACTCTGGGATGAGGAGGACAAAGCTCATGGGTTGAGACAAAGGACAAGGAGGGTTCTTCACCGATTAAGGTCACTGGCAAACCAGACTCAACTTGTGGAAAAAAGAATAATTTAATTTCACACTAATAAACACACACAGGACAAAGACAACACACAGAGCAGGGCTTGCATATGTTACCCCACCCCTCCCTTCTTCCCGGGCCCAAATCCCTTTGTTCCTGGATTCTCTCCCTCCTTCCACCCAGCAGCACAGGGGGACAGGGGATGGGGTTTAGAGTCAGTTCACAGGCTGGTGGTTTCTGCTGCTCCTTCCTCCTCAAGAAGAAGGATTCCTCACAGTCCTTCCCTGCTTCCCCATGGGGTCCCTCCCATGGCAGAGAGTCCTCCAGGAACCTCTCCTTCATGAGTCCTTCCCACGAGGTCCAGAGCTGCTCCAGCCTGGGCTTCCCACAGAGTCAGGGGCTGCTTCAGGAACAGCCACCTCCCCTGGCACCGGGGTCTTCCACAGCTTCACAGTCAGAGCCCACTGGCAGCAAATCCACTGGCCACAACATCCAAGTCCACTAGCCAAGTTCACCCTGCTGGTACCTTCAGGGAATGTTCCACCACGTTCCTCCACAAGTGCAGGGGCACAACTGCCATCTCACCATGGGTTGCAGGGAAAATTCTGCTTCAGCACCTTCTTCCCTTTCTTCCTCACTGACAATTGGCACGGCTCTCCTTCCGCAGCACAGATCTCCCTTCAAGTGCTTCTCTGCCCAGGTGTTAAAGGAGTTCTATCATGACTTCTTGGCTGGGTTTGGAGCAGGGAGAGCTTCTCAGCTTCTTACCAAAAAACCTACCAAACCAAAACCAGAACAATAATCAGAAACTCCTGAACTGTTCCTCTTTTAGGAGATCATGGCTTTTGCTTCTTTTTCCATCTTGAGTATTATTTTCCATATTGCTTGGCTCATTTCTTCTATTACTCTTGTGGTCATGGAAATTTCTGCCCATCTATTTTTACCAATTTTTATTGTGCACCTCCAAGTGTCATATGTAAAACTGACTGGGCCCCTTATATTGTTAAGAATCTTATAATGATGCTGGCCAAGCTCTGTTGATAAGCAACAGTGATAGCAGAAAACATGACCTATGCACTGAAAATGTCAGAATCAGTCAAAGGAGGAGCTGAAGAAATAGATCTTTCCTCTGCTGATTTTTAAGCAAGATTCTGGACAAAAAAAATGAAAAGGGATACATGCTGTAGGAGTATTCTGTGGTTCTACAAAGGTGGTCCCTGTTGGGTTTAAAGATCTGGAGATTGTTTTGTGCTGTAATGCTCACCTGTTAGTGCTTGGCTTCAAGAACTGAATGCCAGTGCAAACTTCCCATGACTGTTGTGGTACTTCACTGGAAACAGTGCACTGTTCCCATTTTTGTGGTATTATTTCAGAATATTACCAGCATGATGAATTTATGTGTATAAAGCCTTAACAACCGGCAAATCTCTACCTCACACCTATGTAGTTTAGTAAATTTTCAAACTGTGATTTTTTTGAAACCAAAGTGTACTCAGGATAAGAAAGATTGTGATGGTCCTTCACATAGCTTGAGAGTATACTTGTGTGGATGGCAGCACCTTGTTTTCCTGATGAAATGCAAAGGGCAACAGAGAGAAAGAGAATGTGAAGATTATTTCCATCACTTTAATGCTGCTTAAGGGAATTCAGTACAAATAGCCTGGCAAGAAATATATCCAAAGGTTAGGATATCATAAGAATCTACAAATACTTGGAAGATAATTACATATAGGAGAGAAAGGAATGATTATGTAGAGTGGTTGAACAGCAATTGCAAAGGATAATGATTTCAAACTAAAATAAGAGGTGGTACATTATATGGAATTTAGCATGTAAATTTAGAGTGTCATAAAGTTTGTTGCTGTGATCTCTCTTTGACAGAGAAGTGAAAGACTAAAGAGTAATTCAGGTTCCTGCTTTTTTTTGCTGTACTTTCAGTAGTGCAGGCGTTTGGAGGAGAAAGGGAAGACATAACCTTCCATCCCTCTTT